CAGAAAAGTTTCCTTCATCTTCACAAACAGAAAAAGGAGAATATGATGCAATTCAGTAAATATCTCCAAGTTACTTGGATATTATTTATTTGATCTCTTCCCTTTTGTTTGAACTGGTCCATCATGACAGCACAAAGCTTGCCATTTCACAGATAACAAAACCCTACAGGGATAAAAGAAGTATTCTGAATTCAAATAAGCCAAGTATGCAGGTACCACAAAGCTTAGAAAATATAACCATAATAGCACTGGAAAGGATTAGGAATGTGGAAATAGCAGTGCTCTCTTTAAGATAATTACTAGTAATGATAATAAATGCTATTAACAAAATTTCATAGTCTTCCTCCTTTCCTTTAGACTCTTTCATTCAATTGCACTTGTGTATCTTCTTTCTTGGGCCAGATATTTATTATAAAACATACTTAGAGTCATGCATTCTCCTGGAAATTTGTTTTAGTTTGAAGGTTTCCTCAGTTCTGAGTAGATGTGGGCTCAGAGCTCATTTCTTCTCTGAGTGAGCCTGAATGTACACACACAGGCACACATAGGATAAGTAAGCAATGTGGATATCTTCCTATGCGGAAGGTGGATGATCTAGTTAACATTTTATAAGACACATTGAACAATAGCAATGGATATTCTGGCCTCTTCCACCCTCTTCAGCTAAACCTGGACTGGAGGGTTCCTTTTCCTGGTTTTTCTCTCCTTCCATGTACCTCTGCTCTCTCCATGCATTCCCTTTGACAGCAGATCCTACATTGTTGAGAATATGGTTTAAACATGCCTGAATATTAGAACATACCTATTAAGACTTGCCCTGCTCATCTTAAGCTGTATCAAAATAGTCTTCTGTATGAGATGTTCTCCTTTCTCTCAATATACAATCCCGTGAAATAATAGAAATAACTTTTTTCTCTGTCCCGTGTATTAGTGTTGAATGTATATACCTTATTAGTCATAACAGCTACACTAAATCAGGTAGCCCAAATTCAGGGCTACACTAAATTCAGGGCACAGCACTGGTGGGGGAAAGGAATAGATGGTGGTCACCACTTACCTGTGGAAGTGTGTGAGTCAACAAGCCCTGAGGAATTGGCCAGAAGGCAGCCTTTGCTTTCCAGAGCCCACATGTTTCCCAGCTCTGAGAAGCACATTCTGCAACACTCTTTATTTCTAGCCAAATGGCTACAAACTTGATGATCACAGTGATCCAGATAATTATATCTTGAATTTATAGGACACTTTTCCGAGGAACTCAGAATTTGTTCGTGGCTCTAAGACTGCCCACCATTTCTCTTCCCTGAGTCCCATCTTCTAAACAGCAGTGATTATAAGTAAGATATTCTGTGAGTTTATGAGGGCTTCATTAGATGGAGTTCTTGGAACTCTCTCCCTGTTAACTCTGGGAGTGATGAATAAGAAGCTGGCAGTGAGCTCTGGCTCCTGCAACAGTTGTACTCTGCCTGAGTAAAGTGTTAAGACATGCGTCAGGTACTATTAGAGTTGGTGTTCAGCAACTGTCAGCCCCCAAATAATTACAGACCACAGGCATCTCAGATGTGCTCCACCACCTTCCACCACTGTTGAGTAGGCACTGTAGAGCAAGAATGTAAGGGATGGTCCTATACTCACCTGAGGCTACTAATCATACTGTGACTCTTCTCTACCATGCACACATTGAATGTTCTGGATTGTAGCCTGGAAATTTAGAGAAAAAGAAAGAAATCAATGCAGATTAAGGACACCGTAGACTTCCTCAATGGCTCGTGTGTGTGTGAGTGTGTGTGTGTGTGTGTGTGAGAGAGAGAGAGAGAGAGAGAGAGAGAGAAACAGAGAGAGAGAGAGAAACAGAGAGACAGAGACAGAGAGAGATATCAACATCTTGTAACACCTTTAAGTCAATGTAGAAAAGGAAAAGTGGTATAAACATGACTCCATTCAAAATCATCTCTTCAGATTTTTGCTACATGATGGAAGGATGCCCTTGATGGTGTTACAATGACTCCTGCTGGGGTTATTTGCATCTTGGAGGTCACACATATCTTTGCAACAACGATTTCAAGACATGTTTTGCAAAAATAACCACACAGAAAAGTATACATCAAGGGACTTCATTGACATTCCTTAAATAATGCCTTCATTCAGAAAAGGGTTGGTCTTCATGCGACTGAGAGATCATCATTTTAGCTCAGCAAAGCTGCTTCTTACACAGAGAAAATGAAAACCCTTTGAAGATTGATGCATCTGTGGGTCTTCATTCATTTTGCAAGGGCACAACCACGCTGTTTCCTGCTCTGTAGCAATTTAAGGAGAACAAGTATCAGCCTTGCTTTAGAGAAATGAATCATGGTACAGAATTCTCTAGACTTGCCATATTTGCCCAGCCTCCCACAGTGCTCTAGCTCATTTTGCCCATACTCTGCTCCTCCATAGACCACTGGAGTTAAAGCTGAGTCTCGAAGCAAATATGAAAACATATGAAGAGGTCAAACCTTTTGCCCAACCCATCAGCATGTTTTGGTTAGCACGTAAGAACATTTTAAAATGGCATTTGGGGTCCCCTGGAATACTTCTTTAGACAAGTATAGAACACAGCATTCTATTTCCCTAAAGTGCATTTCTACCATGGCTCAGGCTCATGGACAGAAAAACAAAGTTGTCCTTTTGTAGCTTCATGGCTCAGTTCCCTAATGAGACTTTGCTTTGTTAATCCCCAATCCCCAACTCCTATAACTATAAGTGACTTTTTTTTTTTTTAATATTGTATTTGTACTTATAGCTGTGTGGCTTTGGCACTGGGATTCTTTCTTCTAAGCTTTGTTTAAAGGCAATCCATTTGATCAAAGAGTTCTACCCTCTGACTTCATCTTTTATCATTCCCCAGTCAGACCTGGGCTATGGGTAGAATCCTGCAGCTATTTTATTTAACATAAAAAATGATTTCATTTTCCTGCCAGAAGCGGATCTTACTGATCATTTCATTTGCCACCTAGCAGCCGGGAGAATCATGGCTTTTACATAACTTGCAGTAGTGGGAAATGGCAGATCATCCTAATTAAGAAAAAAACACGGACAAGGAGAAAGACTACAACATAGAACAGGAAGAATAGCAACTCTGGCGAAGTCATTATTTCCATAGTCCGAAAGACAGAGAAATTGTCAAGGCAGCAGGAAGTGCTGTCAAGGGCAGACTCTATGCAGCTCAATGCACTGGGTCCTCCACCTCCCTTTCTTCACTTCAAGTGAGGATTTCAATCTAATCCAGTGCTGAAATACCAGCAGCTCAGAAGAAAACATTGTGAATTCAGAGCAGAATATCACCTTACTGTTGCAGTCACCACATTTGGGTTCATAAGGTCTGAATATATTTCCCCCTAGGCATTCTTTTTTCTTTTTCCCAACTTCAAACTATCAGTCGGTATCTTCTATTTGAAAGCTCAAGAATTGATATAGGAGAGGGCAGTGCCTCAGTACCATGGCTGCTTTAGATGATACCTCATGTGTTAACCTGGGTTCTTAACTGTTACCAAATGGTTGCAATGCATCGATTGTAGGTAGCCCCGAGCCGTAGAAATGAGCACCATCCAGGGTACCGTGGCATGAGTGCTAACTCATAATGTAAACATCTAGAAAATACAAGATTATCAGCAAACAATAGCCTGTTTTATGTATGTGGTGCTCATAATAGATATCATGTGTTCTATGAACAGGCTTTGACAATACGCAAGTCTCTGGAACCATAGACACAACTTTGGCATCAGATGAACACACATGTGTAAACACATGAAGAAATGACATTGGCAGGAGGGTATTTTGTAATATCCACAAGCTGAGTGGCTTCCAACTGTAGTGAGCAGCTGAACAGCCCACATCTAAAAGCAGCTGTGAAAAAGCTTCTGGCCAAAGAATATCAAATATCAAGAGTCTTCCATCCTGAAATGTTACAGAAATATTCTTTAGCATTAAAAATTACAGAGTTGTTATGCCATTTAAAGGATTTACCTAAAAGCAAGAAAGGAAGGATACTACTGTTCTTTCAACCAAACAGGGGGAAGACCTGAGTTTCTATTTTGACTAGAAAGAAATAGAGAAATAATTTCAGTGTAGTAGGTGTTGCTTATCAGTCCTTTCTCTGTTTCTCTCTGTCTTTCTGTCTCTGTCTCTGTGTGTCACATTTACTGTCACTATAGTAAAGATAAAACCTTTTTAGAACTAGAGATGAAGAAAATGAAACACACATTTGTATTCATGGTTTTTATTCCTATTCTATTTAACATTTGGGGGAAATAATTCATCAGTTTCTCTACTAAGTACTTTAAATGTATAAACTCATTTAAAACTGCCCAGAAAAAGGTGACTATTTTGTCCTAATGATGTTAGAATTCAAGGAATTGGAATGTGCAATGCTGGAGTAATTTTTCCAAGTCAACAAAGCAAAACTAGAAGGACAAGATTAAGGTCCAATCCCTCTACAAGCCCTAATAACCGAATGGCTCAGCTATGATAAGCTTTGCTGGCTAGAAATCTTAGCCGTTGTAACTTGCAGGCCATGTGAAATAGGGTGGTCTACTAAATCACCATGAATTATTGTGATACCCCAAAGCAGACAGTATTTACCAGAGAAATAACCACATTTAGAGCATGAAATCTGGTATCAGGTGTCTGGAGTCTAGTCCTGCTATACTGGAGGAAGTGCTGCATTCACTCATGCCTATTTTGTACAATAAATAAAAGGTTTGACCATGGAACTTTCCTGAACTTATAAGCAAGAAACTTCATAGAGATGTGAGCACTGCTTTTTAATAAATTCTTAGATTGTTTTTCTTTGTAATTGAGCTCATGTTTACTTAAAAAGTACACCTAGCTATCATTTTTGCCAAAGTTGTTTCCAATTTAGAAACAGAGTCCTTGAAGTTTTTGTCAAAAAGATTCATTTGGTTTTGATAGTGCTTGACCCAGTAAAATCATGAGTATCTTAAGACAAATAACAGGCATAAGATGTATTTTATGAAAGAAGAGGCTTGCATCCCCATTAACAAGGATAGAAGAGACTCTGGCACCTAAAATATGAATAAACTTAATGCATTGCCACATATTTTGATTCATATAACCACTGTTATTTCATTAAAAAAAAGAAAGAAAGAAAAGAAAAGAAAAGATAAAAGAAAAAAACCAGGAGCTAAAACATGGACAAAAGATCCTGTGAAAAAGTTCGAAAACATTCTCATATTTTTCATATTTTCTCCAAAAGCCCTTCTCAAGTAACTTGATTAAACATATTTTTAGTGTACAATTTAACATCTATGGCACTTCTTTATTGGATATATGATATTTGGAGAACACACCAAATATCAGTGTGTACCCTTGTATTTTCCAGTGTCCTCTACAGTTTCAGACCATTTGGCTATAACCAGATATGAACATCTCTCCTGCTGGGCTCCTATCTTAGTCATTTTCCAAACCCAGACTTCCCAGTCTATGTATCTGGAAGTGCAGGTCTCTGAAATAGTAAAGTCTAGCAACAGGAGAGCTTCTGCTCCATCAGTGCCCACTGAGAGCAAAAAGTGGAGGCTGTGCGAAAGGCTCACATGTATGAACACTAGCTAATGGTGTCATCTGGGGAGCTTGTGGAACATTTAGCGAGGAGGACCCAGTTGGAGGAAGTGGACCACTGTGGGCTGGGTCATGAGCGTGAGATTCTACCCTACTCACTGCCTGGGCTTTCTCTGCCTTTTGGTGGATGACAGATGGAAAGAGCAATCACTCTATGCTTCTGTCACCATTGATACAGCTCCTCACTGTTAAGGCTCTCTGTCCTGAAAGACTATAGCTTGAACTGTCAGCCAGAATAAATTGTCTCTCCCTGAAGTTGTATTTGTATGTAAAGTATTTGGTCACAGTGATGACAAAAGTTGCTAATACAGCCTCTTGACTATGACACTCTATGTAACTGCTGATGGATGAGAATGAACCTGAGTTAGCCAAAGAGAATTGTTCCAACAGCTGTCAGCCTTATTTTATGACTTTGGATTTAGTATTTATAATGTTCCTGCAAAGATGGGTAACATAATGAACTAAAGTACACACTCAATACCCTCTTTATATGAATTTGACCTGGAGCTTATGAACTACTATGCTTACCTGTTAGCATGAGAATATAGTCAAACAAGTGTTCCATATATGCCTATATTATTATATATCCATTATTATAATATGTATGCATTCACATGTATATATCATATACCATGTAAACCCACTCTTCTTGGGGCCATACATTAGTCTACTGAAAATACAGAGAGTATGGTTTTTATAATGGCTACTTTCTAGGTACCATATATGGAAAAAGTCCAATCAGGGAAATACAAATCAAAACTTCTTTGAGATTCCACCACACTCAAGTCTTAATGGTAGTCACTGAGAAAATAAATAACACAAAGGAAGACAGGTTGTGGGTAAAGGTGAACCCTTACACAGTGCTAATAAGAAAGAAAAGTGGTCAAACCACTTTGGAAATCAGTACTCACAGCTTTCCATAAAACTAAAAGATCTATCATGTGACTATGCTGAAAAAGTCTTTGGTATTTACCCAAAAGACTTCAAGCCAATATATTACATTATTGCAATGAAATTATGTAACCAGCTAATGTATCTAACAACAGAAGAATGGATAAAATATAGTACACAATAGAGTATTTTTCACTGTTACGAGTGTAAACTTATGTCACTTGCAGTAAATGATTGCAACTAGTAATAATCATACTAAGTGAATTAAGCCAGTCTCAGAAAAGAAAATATTGTTTGTGTTTTCTCAAAGCAAATATTATATGTGTGGTTCCTAGATGTTTTAATCAATACATGAAGTAAGATATGTATATGTGATATGAAAATAGAAGTGAACCTGTCTAGGGGACCAAAAATGTCTAATGGGAATAAAAAGGGATGAAATAAGAGAAGATGGGCATATGAGAAAGAGGTGCTTTCATGTAGCATATATTTGCATGCAAGTGTCCTCATGTAACACAGTACCAAGTATAATGAAAATGCACAATAAAATTTTTAAAAGAAAAGCCAAGAAAAAGAATGCTATAAGACAAAAAACTTGAGTTAATCATTTGGTGTTCACAGCAGATTCCTTCCAGCGTTCTCCTTGGGAAACAGAATAGAAGATTCAGTCATGTAGAATCATGGGTTGACAGGCCCACAGAGTTAGCTTAATTTAGCCTCTTATATAGAAAGCAAATTTCAGTTTGAGACCCAACATGATGGCCTCTGCACATTATTATTAAGCAAGCATGAGATTTTCCCAAGATAGAAAGCTATTATACTGATTTATTGATCTTCCAGAAGCCCCTCCATACTCAACTAAATTAGACAGCCAAAGACCTCTTCCAAACAATGGTAGGCTTTGCATCAAATCACACAAAGTGAGGGTCATAATAAGGATTGGCACGAGAAGTTAGATGAAGTACTACATGACAAAAATAGTTAAAATCAGCTATATACCTATAGAAAGAAGTGAATTGAACCAGTTACAGTGGTGTGCACTTGTCACCCTAGGTTTCAGGAGACTGACATGTCAGGGTCAAGGCCAGCCTGAGACACATAAGCAAGACCTAGGCAAAGAACAAAAAAAAAAAAAAAGGGAGGTTGAGAAAAGGGGGAAGAGGAGAGTCAAAGAAGATTAGAAAGAGGGAGAGCAAAGGGGAGAGGAGGAAGGAAGCAAGCAAAGAAAGAAATAGCATTCCAAGGCTGGCATAGTAAATGCTCAATCTGGTAGATATCTAGTAAGATTGTTACAAAGGGGATTATGAATTCAGAGGAAAGGTGTAGCCTAGCATTGAGCTTATTTATACACCAGATCCAGGATTCCAGGTCTGGGTAACATGTAAATTTCAGATGCCACCTTTGGTTCATCTTACAGATACAAATATCTTCCTGAAAACTCATCCCCAGGGTCACACCTCCTCCCACAAGATCTAACCTCTTCCAAAAAGCACACACCTCCTAATCCTTCCTGGACAGCTCTCTAACTGAAGACTAAGCATGCAAATATATGAGCCTGAGGGGGCCAGTCTCATTCAGACCACTGCACAAGCTAAGGCCCTTTCTCTGTGAGAGAAGACAGAAAGTTGGAGCTGTCGTGGCAATTACAATATCCTATCCTAACAGATCCCAACGTTGTCAGCCATCAAGAAAAGCAAGATCCAAAGAAGAGGACGCACCAGGTTTTCCCAAACTCAAGTGAGCAGCTGTGTATCCCACCGATAATTTCTTCCAAGTGTGATTGTCTTCATTCAGCTGGATTTGACCTTGGCCTCCTGCAGGGGCAAGACCGTTTCTCCTAACACATGTTAGTATTTGTTTATTCAGGGGACAAAGTGGGTTTTATTCAAAGTTCATGGTTGGAATCTGTTTCTTGGTAAAATGTTCCAGCAAAAGAGTCCTTTTACTGCAGCTTTCCCTCCCAACCTAGTTAAGAGAATCCAACTCCCTAGACTCCGGCTTGCTACAGGAGTGCTATACCACCCAATCCTTGGTTGCCATCAGGCATACTGTTCTGTGGAGCATAGCTGAGGTCCACTTTCTATCTGCTAAGACCATTAGAAGAGTCTGTAGGCATCATTTTGTCACAAATGTACAACCTAGCTTAGGTTAGGACATTCTTGATCAGCTTGAGCTCTGGACACATACAGTCACCTGAACAAGTTAAGTAACCTTATCACAAGGTCAATTACCATATTTTCATTATCCTCTACCTTTTTATAAAGAAATAATAAATAAATAAATAAATAAAGGCTCAAGTTTTCTTTGTTGCAATATCTGCCCACATGTGACTTAGATACTAATGATGGTGTTGAACATATAATTATATTAAACATCACATCACACTACAATGAATTCCAGTCTTTTTTCATATTTCAATTTATTGAAATTATACTAGCTCCAAAGGCTGCACTACTATGCAAACTAACACTTCAAAAGCATATTCAAGCAAATTGCCCACCCTGCACCACCACTACAATTAGAATGTGGTAGAGAGATGGGAGAAAGGGAAGCAGAATGAACTGTTTGTGCACTGTGGAGAGAGAACTAGAGGCTGAACAACAGCGAGGACCAGGCCGATGTAAGTGGCCTGTGCTGCCATCTGACCCCACAGTGATCCATGCTGCCCCCAAGGGTGATTTCTGAGGCTGAGTCCGTAGCCTGTGTTGCCATCCATCCAAGGCCAAGTTGATGTCCATGATTCAGGCTGCCTCCAATGGCCTTGCCTGGGTCTGTGGCCCTGCTGCATCAGAGGACTCTTTTCATGGTTTGTGGTGGCACCACAGAACACATGGAAGCCCATGATCTGTGCTCCTGCTGCCTGTAGAGCAAGGCCACTACTTTTGCAGTGATATCAATGATTGCAGATACACAATTGAGAAAGAGGGACATGGAAGGCTGCTGTAACAGCCCCTAACCCCACTCCACCCCAGCCTTAAAAGCAAACAGCCTAAACAGAAAGCCATCAAAGAGAACACTTAAAAAAAAGTGTTTGATAAGGATGCTGACACTAGCTCTCCACAACTGATGGCTTCTGGCCAAGGTACAGGAGGGGAGCGACTCAGCCCTATTTAAGGGGCAGGCTACTTTGAATTTGACCATGCTTCAGTGAGTATATAGGTAACACAAATTGTACTTATTTTTGTTTTCTTTTCTTCTTTTTAATTTAATTTTAACTTGGGAAATACAGGAAGTCACAAGGATGGGGGACAGACATGGAAGGACTGGGAAATGATTGTAATTGGTACATGATATTAAATTCCCAAAGTTTCAATAAAAATGCTCTTTAGAAAGCATATTCAAGCATAGAGATATCTTCTCTCTCTCTCTCTCTCTCTCTCACACACACACACACCACACACACACACACACACACACACACACACACACACACCTCACAAGAAGACTTCAAACTATTCAAATTTTCTTAGAGTCAGTGAATAGCAGTTATATTGAAGAAAATGTAGGGAGAAGCCCAAGCAAGGACTGAGAGTTCTAAAGACAACCATAGTTTCATTATTCAAGAAAGAGAAACATTTGATTTCAGTTAAGTAATGAAAACAGAAAATCAAACGTTGT